GCGGGCGTCTGTGAGGTACCGTCTCCTGCCTCCTGCCGAGAGAGCCAGCTGTGGGCAGGTGCAGAGGCACAGAGCTCAATGTCCAGGGAAGAGAAAGTCCAAACCTCTCCCAAACACTTCAAACACACATTTCTCAAGTTTCGGTTCCTTCAGCATTAGGTGACAGCTGACAGGGCTTTTAAACAGATCAAAATTGGGGATTTATATGCTTAAAAGTTCTGTCTGTGTCCCACATTAGGCATTACAGCTAGCTCAGCAATTCAGCAGCACAGAACCCTGAAAGCTAATTTCTCATTTTACCTCATCTATTTCACTGTAATGCACAGAGCAGGTGTGTGCAAAGTCCTTTATGGATCTGGCACATAACCATTCTGCATTCATCCCTCTACTTTCAAAAGAGGAGTAATACTTCCCTACTCACAGTAACATTGCAAGAGTAAATACATAAATGCTTTTGGAAGTGTTCAGGTAACACAGACACTGGCATTGTAAAACTAGTTTGAAGTACAACTGCGCTACACAAGGTCTAAATAATTCAGTGGCTTAGAAGATCAAAAAACACTTTCAAAGGAAGAAAAATTAGGCACACGGTCTTTCTAGACCACCACTTTAATTCCAGATGAGGCCTTTCAGCTGACGAACTCTACATGCAATTACACTAGAGTGTATTAAGAACTAGTAGTTTATTCTAGTCAGAGGAAGCAACACAGAGAATACAGAAACAGGTTTCTTGATATTATGGCACGTTTGTTGATTGAGCTAAGGAATTAATTTTGAGTATGAAGTCTGAGGCATTTCCAGAAGAGATCTTGTGAGAGTTGAGTATCAGACAATTAAGTTTCTGTGGGGGTTAGAATGTATCAAAGCTGGCAATTAAGAGTGGCCATGGGAAGGAGGAACTTTAGTAGGCAATTAAGAGTGACCTGTCCCTGACTGGTACTTGGAAGATGTTGGAACTGGCAAGGAACAAGGACATCGGAACTGGAAAGAGGATGTCAATAAGAAAATCAGATAGACCTTTCACCTGATGTAACCACAGGCAAACACAGATGTGCCTGGCTAATTGCTTGGAAGCATATAAATATCGTGTAATCTGTTCAATAAACGATCCAGCTTGCACTCTACCTCTGGGTCTGTGCCTCCATCCTCAGAAATGGCACCCGAACAGGGACAAGACAGAGAGCTGTGACTTGGCTACTGGTGAGGAGCCCAGCCGAACTCCGAAAGGCTACAGCAATTAACCGATACCTCTGACTGAGGTAAGCGGCTGGGAATGGGAACATGGGGAACTCGATATCCCCCGAGCACAAATCGGTGTACAGAGTACTAGTGAAATTCTTAGCAACGAAAGGGGTTACTGTAAATGAAGATAAACTGAAAGACTTATTAATATGGGCCTCAGCCCATGCCCCAGAGGCGACATCAACTAATATTTATCAGAAGGGAATATGGGACAAGATTGGGGTCTACCTTTGGGACGCAGCCACAAGGGATGACGCGGCGGCCCCCAGATTGCTGGCCATATGGCACTCAGTCTATGAGAACACTCTCGACCCGGGGCCAGTAGACCCAGAAACTGAGACGGGTCTATTCCCGCCTGATCCTGGCATTGGCTGTCATGAGACACAAGCTTTGCCGGTGCTCACACACAGTCCCGCGCTTATCGATCTGCGGGAAGATATCCGCTGGCAGGCTGCAACAGCAAATGAGCCAAGCAAAGATGACCCTTTTGATCCCGGACCAATAGACCCTGACAGAGAACCCGACCTCTACCCCCCTGACCCGCATGATACGTGGAAAAACATTAAAAAAGAAGGGGAAAATCAAGGTGCTGTGAGCCTGCCCCACAACCTGAATGCTCCACATCCCGTCCGTCACGAGGCGAACCGCGGGCTAGACGGCGGGGAGGAAAACGGAGCTCCCGCGGGAGCCGGGTGGAGGCTGCGGCGGGGGCTCCCCTCCGACCGAGGGGCTGCACCTGGTGGCAGCGGTGGGATAAGGAGCTGCGGAGCACGGGCGCGCCGCCTCCACCTCCCCGTTGCCGCGACCTCACTCACTCGCCCGGCGGCGGCAGCAGCAGGCTCTGGCGGGCTCCTCCCATTGCCTGCCCGCGGGCAGAGGGCTGTGATGCTCGCCCACCCCTCGCCTTTGTGCTGCGCCCGCCAAGATGCGCGCTGCGGGGTCCACTCCTCCTGGTGAGAGGCGGGAAGAAACCCAGCCTCTGCCCCGCAGGTCTTTCACCCACAGCAATAGTCTGTTAACAGATAACGATTCAGTCAAACACGCTACCCTTCAAAATAGAGCTGCCATAGATTTTTTTGTTATTAGCTCAAGGACACGGTTGTAAAGACTTTGATAGAATGTGTTACATGAACCTGTCTAATCATTCTGAGTCTGTCCATGATGCAATTCAAAACCTAAAGGATGGAGTTCAGAAGCTGCGAGTTGAGAGTAGCTGGATTTGGCTAGAAAGTTTGCTGTCAGAATAGGGCATCAGTGCATGCTTGAAAAACATTATTAAAATCACATTAACCTGTGTAAAAATCTCTGTGTATTTTAATCAAACTTCCTTGTTTAATTGCTTGTATAAATCGTTTGTTTGCTAAGTCTGTTAACAATGTTTTGTTAGTTTACAAAGAAGGGGGAGATGAGGGGAATGCTGCACAAGAAGCTGCACCAGTAGACCTGGACGAGAGCCCAGACATCTGGACTCTTACCAGCCACAAACCTTAGGAGAACTGAACGGGACAAGTCGGGAAGAACTGGAGAAAGAACACTGGGTGGAACAGAAGAAAAAGCATCAAGATAATTTCTGAGGACTGTAAATTTGGAAACAGGAGGATACTTAAGACAAGATAAAGAATGTGTAGTCAAGGGGAAGTGAAAGTGAGATTGTAATGAGTAGTGATAGCAGAGAACTGTGTTTAGAAATAATTAAGCAAAGGTGTGTGGACAGTAATGTGATTGGCTGAAAGACTGCGTGATCAATAAAATTGTTTTGTGATGGAAAAGTACCAAAAGAACTAACTGCTACTAACCGCTAAGCAGAATACTATAAAAACCTGTAAGCTCACTCAATAAGGGATTTCGTTTGTAGCCAGAAACAGAGTCCATGCCTCAGTTGCCACAAGATTGGGCCTGGCAAAGGGTGCTATCCCATATAAAGGATGGCCCATGTGCAGTAGGGACCTTAGGCATGTTCATCCCCAATAACACCATGATAATGAATAAGCGAGGATTGCGCTCTTGGAGATCAACGCATGCTTTTCAGCCGAGCTGCGATGACAAAGTAAATTTTTGGAACCCAGGTGAAATAATAGCTGCCTCATTTTTCGCCCCTGGAGTAGCTAGCACTCAAGCTTTAGCAACATTGAATAAGTTAGGATGTTGGCTTGCTGAACAAACTAATGCTACAGCATCTGTTCTCTCTGCGTTGCTCACTGATGTTGACTCTATAAGACATGCAACTTTGCAAAACAGAGCAGCAATCGATTTTCTCCTCTTAGCGCATGGACATGGGTGCGAAATTTTGGAAGGAATGTGTTGCATGAATTTGTCAGACCATTCAGAATCCATACATGAAAGTATCCGTAAATTAAAAGACAGCGTAATGAAGTTAAGGGAGGATGATAAAGATTGGTTATCATCACTCTTCTCTGACTGGGGCATAACTGGGTGGCTATTGACTTTGGTTACGGGAGGAATGATCTTCTTGCTTGCTCTCTTTGCCATTATATGTGTTGTACCTTGCTTACTACAATGGATGTAGCGAATGTTATCCCAAGCTTTTGAGAGACATGTGTATACTGCATTGCAAAAACAAGAAGGGGGAATTGTGGGGGTTGGAATGTATCAAAGCTGGCAATTAAGAGTGGCCATGGGAAGGAGGAACTTTAGTAGGCAATTAAGAGTGACCTGTCCCTGACTGGTACTTGGAAGATGTTGGAACTGGCAAGGAACAAGGATGTCGGAACTGGAAAGAGGATGTCAATAAGAAAATCAGATAGACCTTTCACCTGATGTAACCGCAAGGCAAACACAGATGTGCTTGGCTAATTGCTTGGAAGCATATAAATATCGTGTAATCTGTTCAATAAACGATCCAGCTTGCACTCTACCTCTGGGTCTGTGCCTCCATCCTCACAAGTTTCTGGTGATATTTTCTAAAAACCAGTTCCTTTAGCATACATGAAGTTAAAAACCACCATCATCTTCTTAATATCTTTAAGCAGAGATACCTTTATTTCTTAATGACTAGGCAGTATTGAAATCAGGAGCCTGCTTTACTAAGAAACCCTTCATCTCCATGATTGGCTGTCAGCAGGAGCCATGGTGTTGAAAAATAAGTTACAGAGGAGACAGGGGTGGGCACAGCAGACAGCTGGCCCCTGACGCTGCTCTGGGCTCTAGGACCCTCAGCGCTTCTCTGACTCACATCTAATTTGTGGGATGTGGTGGCCACATACAGTGGCCAGAGCAAAAAGATGAGGAATAGTTGGCTCATCCTTGATGGCTCATGTCCATCTCCAGGATCCCGAGGGCCTGACATGCACTGGCAGCTAGCAAGCTGAACACAAACCAAACCAGGCACCTCCTCACAGGCATGTATTCACATTGTGCCACGCAAACTGGACGTGGAAAGTGTATGTGGGTTATAATACAAGAGAAATCAATTTGTAGGCCTCAGCGCCATCTCCGGTTTAGGCTCTATGCACTTCAATTCAGCCCAGCCAGGCCTGCCTGGCCACGGGCAGGACCAGTGCAGGGTGCCACGGAAAAGGCGATCACACGTCTCCTGGTGTGTGATCTTCGCTCCCGACGCGAACACCGATTACATAAACCCCAAAGCCAAGCCGGGGAAAAGGCGAGCGTTTTGATTCTCCGTCCTGGCCAGCTCCGGTTCCTAGGGACTCGCGCCTGGGCGGGTGTATGCTCCCGGCCGGTGCGTAGGCGTGGGGAGCAGTAGGGCAGGCATGCCACTGGGACCCCGCGGCGGCCCCGGCAGCACTGCGCGGGGCGGGCCCGCTTCCCGCCCCGCCGCCAATGAGGGCCAGGGCCGTCACGGCGGCGCGTCACGGGAGCGGCCGCCAAGATGGCGAAGGTGTCGGAGATGTACGACGTGACTTGGGAAGGTAACGACGCGTCCGCCGAGGCTGGGCCCGGCCCGGCCCGACCCCCAGACCGCTGGGCGCAGGGTGAAGGCGGTCAGCCCCTTCGGCCCTGCTGCGCGGCGGGGACGAGCAGGCCGCCGCCTGTTCCCGGCAGCCGGAGCCGGGCGGTGGCGGGGCCCGGGCGGGGCCGGCGGCTCCGCGGGCTGTGGGTGGCCGGGCGGCGCAAGCGGAGCTGGCGGCCCGTGCTCAGCCCCGCGGTGACCGCGGCTCCGCCGGTGGTAACGTGCACAGAGCCCTGAGAGCGGAGCCGCCAGCGCCTGCCCCCATGGCTGGGGGTCCATTTTCCTGCGGGATGGGGATGTCTCCACACGCACCGGTGCGGCGGGGCCCAGCAGCTGCCTCTGCTCCGTGCTGACGGAGCCCCGTTTCTCCAGAGCCCGGCGGCGGGTTCTCTCGGCCCGGCTTCCGACCCCACAATACTGATGTAGCGCCTACAAGAACATAGGGCTTCTTATTTGGTTGAGCAGTTTGTGTCAGTTCACCTCCTGAAGCGCCAGAAAAATACCTGATGTTTTCCAGAAATTCCGTGGTGTGCGTTTGTGGAGGAGCTCGCAGGAGCTCTGAACTGACATAAAAACTCCTGAAAATCCTGCTCCCCTGCTCTTTGTAGCATTCACGTGTTTAATCCTAATAATTAATTATAGCAGTACATTTTTGAGGTTTACCTGACATTCCCAGTGGCTCTTTTCTCATAAGCAGTACATGTTCAAATACGAGTTCGTACAGCACTCAAGCCTACTACTGTCTCATATCAAGAACAGATTCATGCTTCTCCATAGTTTTGGCTGTAAAGGGGGAAACTTTAGCTAGGTGGTCCCACATGTTACAAACATACTGTAGAGAAGGTAATGCAGAGAGCAGCTGTATGATCTTTGTTTTTAGATATATTGTCTATATCTATATATTTTCTGCCAGTCTGTGAAGAAATAAGTGAGAAAATAATTCCCAGATTATAGATGATTGGTTAGTTTAGGTTTGTAGTATGTGGATAGGAGGAGCAACATTGCAAGGGATGTATTTTAGCAGATGCCAGTAACTTGCCCATCAGAAACAGTGGCCATACTGGCTTTCCTGCATCTTTTTTTGCAGGACTCTGAAGCAAGACAAAATGGAATTTCAGATATTCAGTTTTCGGGTCAAATTGCATCAATCTCAGAAAATCTTTTGTGTTGAAGAAAATAAGTGTTGTAGCTAAATGATTTAGGATGAAGAATAGGTCTTTCTTGTCAGTATGTTTTGTGGTCAGTTTACAGGTAGTTTTGCTCTGTAATCTGGTTGCATCACCATGATGTCGCTTTTGAGAAAAGCTTGGTTGCTTGTTCTTTTATATCTCTTGTGAGGAGGTACAGCGGTGGTGAAGCTCAGCTGGGGTAGAGTGCAGGCCGGCCACTGCTTGGGCAGGGAAGTTGTATGGAGTTTTTCTGGTGTTATTGTTGGGCTTTTCCAGAAGTTTCCGTAAAACAGCTTGTGTAAAGAACTTTTGCGGTTTTTATTTTGCTTGAACATACGTTTTTATAAAACCCAGAGGTTTAGTTTTTTGCTTTGTTTTTAACCTGTTGTTCTCAGGTGTCAGAGATTAGATAAATGAGATTTTTTCATGGGATAGGTGCATACATTGTGGGTATGTTTCTGTGTGTTTAGGCCTAGATTGTTTTGGCTGAGAGTATTGCAGAGTTGGTATCTTTAACTTCTAGTGTAAAGGCTGGGTATAGAGTGCTTAAGTTTGCTGGTTTGGGACTTGGCTAATTCATACTGGAGTTGAACTTCCTACTCTTAGAAATAACCTAGATATTCCCTAGATATTCTATTTCCAAGAATCTTGATGGACATCTGTGGCATTGTGCTATGTGCATAGTTTGTGCATATTGAAAGAGAAATTTTTGGGGACCAGCCGGGGAGTTTTGTCATATCAACTTCTCAGTTGGTATATGCCATTTTATGTCCAAATGTAGGAGTTGGGGTGTAGGGGAAGATCTGTGTTGGTACAAGGGACTGTGTCCGCTTTAGAAGGATGCATTTGAAAAATATTGTATTTTTTCCTCAATTTTAAGAGATGCAAAATAAAGTGAAAATGAGTGGAGTCCTGCAGTAGACCATGCAGAGACTCTTCTCAGGAGGAAGGCTTAAATTTCTTAAGTTATGTGGATCATTAAATTAGTATTGCATTTTTTTTTCTTCTACCTTTTAATCAAAATGAGGTATCTCTCAAACCAACGAGCCTCTCAATAAAGCTACATTAATGAGAACACTGTTCTCTGTCCTGCAGTTTTTTTTCCATCGTTGTAAATTCTGTACTTGGGTGATGAATGCTAGATGTGCATTCTGTTAATGCATGATTCAGACACTTTTCCGTTTGGAGTCACACTGGAATGGAGGCATTGATAATTTCCAAGTAAATGAGTGGGTAGAAATCAGACAGCTTGTTTATCTTTATGCATTTAGCTTGTCAGTTTTTGTGAATGTTTGTGTTCTCTCACAGTCTTGCTGTCTAACTTTGGATTTCCAGGGACCATTATGTGTCTAGAACCATTTTACGTTACCCATGCATATGAAATGTAACCCTCTGGTGGTTTTGGTTGAATTTCAAAATACAAAATGTAGCACAATAACAGTCTTATGAGCAATCTGAGATCACTTCAGGTAGATGGAAGAAAGTTCGGTGCTTAATTTTTAGCTGTCAGTTATGTTAACTATGTGTTTTGAAGTGCAAGAAAAACTGACAGTGTTTAGATCTATGGTTGTGTTTGGTTTTCCAGCTGTTTTTTTTTAAAGTTTGTTAAAAAATATTCGTAACAGTTATTGTGGTACCTTCATGTTAATAAAGCCACTATCTAGTAATGAAACCTATTTTCCTTAAGTTTCTTCAAAATTTATTCTTACATATGGAACATCTATCTGTATATAAATGTATATGTGTATATAAAATCACATTCTTAGCAATTTCCTCATCCAGAGGATAAATAAAACCTGGGCTAGGTACTGCTCACTAGCTGACTTCATGAGTATGAGCTGGCTCTCTTGGGTATCTGATCATAGTAAAATGTAAACTTGAAACACAAATCCTAATGCTAAAATAAACTTTTTTTTTAATCTGACCTAGATAAACAGTGGTAACTTTTATACCTTTGGGCAGTTCCCTGGTGTAGATGGCCTTTGCTTCCATGTCTGCCTTTCTTGGGGCTCCTTTCCATAGGAGTGTGTAGATTGTGAGTGAAAGCTCACAGCATTTTGCTTACACTGATAAACATGAGCAGTGATTGAATTATCATGGTTTTAATAATACTTCAACTGTAAATTTCTTAAGTAAAATTTATCCACCTGGAGCAGAAAAGCAGTTTTAGTATTGTTTGTAAATGTGTGAAACTACTTGGGAGAGATCTCTTGTAGCCTATTTTTCCTAAGCAGGGGGAATGTCCATTAACTTTTATTGTTTATTGGATAACTAGGTATAAAGGGTTTTTACTGCATATATTAATAACCTGAGAGACCACAAACTTGGAAGTTGAATTGATATTAGAGCATGAGCACAGTTTGTGGGACATGGTTTCAGAAGTCTGGTGTAGCTATCTGTTCTCTAGTAGTTTTCTAATATCAGTAGAAGTCACTTTCTTAAATCTAGTGCTCTCTCTACCTATTCTCCATATGCATATTTTCTGGAAATAAAATTAAAATTCCATTAGTGTCTGGAACTGTAAATATTTTATTTTTATTTATTTCTCCCTTTTGCCCCAGATATGCGTGATAAAATGAGGAAATGGAGGGAAGAAAACTACCGGAACAGTGAACAGATAGTGGATGTTGGAGAAGAGTTAATTAATGAATATGCATCTAAACTTGGAGATGACAGTAAGTAAACAGTCATTATTTTCAAAACTTCCATCATCAGATTTTGTTTTCTCTTTTTAGTCTCTATTTTGTACTTATGTGTTGCCTTTCTGTATCTGCTTATGTTGATGGAATATTTATTACTTTCCAAGTCTAATAGGCTGCCAGAATTCCTAGATTTTATTTCTTTCCCACATATGGGCGGCAGTGAAAATAGGTGGAAAAACTCTTTACTATAGGCATAAAGTAAGTGTAATAAAGTGCTGTCAAGATTGAATAGGTTTGCATATTAATCTTACATGTGTTTTTATTTTAATGCTCATGCTTCTTCCTTTTTTTCCCCTTTTTTATATTTCAGGCCATTTAATACAGATATTCTTTAATACATTTCTCTTGTTGTGCTTTACTTCTATTAACTGCTGTTACATAGTCACCAGGGGATTTTAGCAGCCACAGCAGTGCATTCTATTTACTAGTAACAGTTACTGTACTCCATATGATTATTCAGTTAGTTAACTTGGTCAGTTAGTTTAGTAAACTAACTTTAATTTCAAAACCCTAACTTCATGTTCATGGAATTAAGGTTCACATGGTTATTTCAGGAAGACTGCCTCCCTCAGGTGAGGAATCTTTCAGTATTGATTTTGGGGTTCTAAAGGTAGAATTTGTTTTGTATCATGCTTTGCTTTGGTTCTGTCTTGTACCCTCTCAGCTGCAATTCTGTTCTGGACTTCCTTCCATTCTGAGGGGCTTGGCCACTGCAAATGTTGTACTTTTTTTGGATGTAAATACATGGATTGTCTACCCGTAGTATCATGTGTTGAAGACACCTCTGTGCGTAGCAGTGAGTCGCGAAGTGCGCTTGGAGGTCCAGTGCTCGAAGCAGATACTGCACTTGTGTGGGGGTCTTGCATTGTAGCTGTGAGGAGCATGCTTGGTTTTAGACTGGGTATGCTTAATACACCCACCTACAAGAGAGTTGTAGGTTCCTACTGCTGTAGAAGAACTTTGAGAGCTAACCTTGATTTTACTTTCTTCTTACCACGTTGCTTAGTAATTTATTGAGAGTTATATTTTAGTAAGGAACTGTTGAGGAGTTTGGTATTCCTCTCAGATCTTGCTGATGCCTTTTTGAAACATTGTTCTCAGTAATAAGGGCTGAGTTATTTCTTTCTTGTCAGGGTTCAGTTTGTCCTTCTTTTCAAGTGTCATGGATATATGTTATCTGTATTTTGTCTGTTTGGGAAAAAATGGATACATTACATAATAAAGATAGAATACGTATTTTACAGATAGTTCCAATGAAGAGGATTGACAGGCAAATTAATGCCTGTTTTTTTTTCTTTTATATACCTAGCAAGAAATAGTATTTTCTTAAAAAAAGTAGTGAAAATTCTCATCATAGAAGCTAACGTTTTAAAAGGAGAGGGCTCTTGTTATTGCTATTTCTATATTGTACTGTATTTTTATTTTAGATTTTTGTTTTGGAGGACATTTATTTCTGTTTCATTTCTGTAACATGTTGAGTGCACCTCATTAGATTTACATGAGTTCAAAGCACTTGGTACTTCTAATACTTACATTGCGTGTTTCCCTCTACCCATAACCTTTCTTTTCGGCAGCTTGTAAAGCCATGCTGTTAAGTTCTTTACATTCAAGAGCTTGGTAGGCCTAGAACAGAAATAATGTAATATGTCATTGATTTAGAGATGTTGTTCAACTCCAGGAAGAGGACAACATTTGTGGGACTTCAGTAGTGAAACAGTTAAGGGAAATTTGTTTTCTTTGTAGCCCATATGGCTGTTCTCCAGGTCTGATCAGAGAGCAAGTCCTAGTGGGGATCTATTTAGAAGACTGCAGCTATTATGTTAGGAAAAGTAGAGAATTAGAGCCTTTTTGCCTTTCAAGATGTCAAAAGGTACTTTGTTACTAAAAGCAATAAAATTGCTTTAATGCCTTTTTAATTAATTCCAGCAGTTTCTTAGAATGTCTCTGTTTCAGTAGTGATCCACAGGAGTAGAAGGGGGAAAATACACAGACAGAATTCATTAATCTTATTTACATTGTAGGTGTTTCCCATTATCTTAAAAAAATCACTTATCTGCATGTAATGTCTCTTTTGTGTCCAGTTTGGATAATATATGAACAGGTGATGATTGCTGCCCTGGACTGCAGTCGAGATGATTTGGCATTGGTAAGTTTTCAAGTTGACTTTCTCTTCAAACTTTAAAGTTTTCCTCTGGGTGTCTCTTGCAGCTAGTTCCTTGGACAGTTACAGGATATTCTGAACTCCATAGCTTGGACTTCTAGCATATCTGTTGAGAAGTACATTGCTGGGAAGAAAGTACCACCACCTACCTCTTCTCATGTGTAAATTTTGTTTCGATGATCATGTCTCTTCCAATAGCCATGAAAATATTTACAGCTACTCCAGTATGGGCTAGATGTCATGAATAATATTGAAGTTTCCATGTTGTACAGAGAATGTTTGTTTATTGGAAACCTCTCAAATTATATTGGGGTTTTTGAATGTTTTGAAGTAAAAGGTCCTGTTATGCATGTCATATTATGTGTGGTATTGGCTATCATCAAAGAAAGTCCTTTGCATACCAGAGCAGGTCTTCAAGATGAGTGGGGGGCTGGACTACATAATGTATAAGGAAAGGCTTGAGGGATCTGGGTTTGTTAGGTCTTGAGAAAGCTAAGAAGGGATTTGATTGCTATCTTCGGATATGTACTAATGAGAAGGTATAAAGAAGGTGGACACAGATTTTAGTAGATTTGCAGCAAAAGATAAGTGTGAGAGACATAAGATGCAACAATGGAAATTACAATTAGATACTAGGAAGAAGTTTTTAACAGTGTGGTTACCTAGCGAACACTTTATGACGAATGCCCTGGCATTTCCTTTAGAGATGCTGAGAAATGGACTGGGAGGTGGCCCCGCGCTCACTTGGAAGCTGGCTCTGTTTTGAGGGGGGATTTGGAGCAGATAACCTCCAAAGGTCTGTTACAGTCCAAATTGTTCAGCGATTCTTGATAAAAAATATTGTTAATGGATATTAGGACTTAGTTAATTTGTATGGAAATTTATTTGAATCATGCAAATAACAATTTAAATTAAATGAGTTTATTTAGAACTCGTAACACCTGTTGAGTAGATTAAAAATAAAAAAAAACACCAGAACAAACAAAAACCCCAGCTAGGTTAGGTGATCCTTTAAAGGCAGCAACTTAAAAAGGCAAAAGTGTGTTTTTCAGGAAAAATTTAATAATCTTTTCATCCCTCCTTCACTGAATGCTGGGAAAAAAAAAACAAACAACCATGACCTTGTCTTGTGCCTTGAAAACCAGCAAGCTTGAGCTTATTCTGAGTGAAAAGAAAGGTGTTTTCAGGAGTCCAGGTCTTTCATTCTTCCAGTGAGTTGCTCTGTCAGATGGCAAAAATACCCCATAAAGTCTTTGAGCTTCATGTGGTGTCATTTGGGTGAAACTTAATGATCTGTGATATACAAAGGGTCAGCCTAGAGGATATAGTTGGGAGAAAGGCAGTTTGAAAGTAGGCAGAACTAGACAAGTTTATCTCGCATCCCACATATATATGGTAAAATGGGTGTGCGCTGGAAACTACAGCACAATGCTCTGAACTTGTCATGAACCCACTGAACTTTCTTTCCTTTGTTCCTCAGAAGAAAATACTGTTGTATAGCTGCCTGTTTAAACAAAACAAATAGAATTACTGTTTAAATAAATACTTTTCTGTGTTCTGATTTATATCTAAACCAGTTTTGGTCTTTATTTTCAGGGTCTTTTTAGGAAGACTTTCACAAAATTGTTGAGGGAGCCAGTGTTGAAAGATCAGTTGTGAGACACTTTTTTTTTTACTAACCCTGGCAGGGATTTTACATTTCAGTTTCTGTGCCCTGTAAGGATTATTGCTTAGATGAGGGAATGCAACAGTTTATATGCAGCTCAGAAAGGAGGTTAAAAGCTTAGAGGGAAATTTAGTTTTTTGTTTTATGTTAATTTAATTTGATTGATTTATAACAAAGAAGTAGTTAATTCAGACAAGTCAACATCATATGTGGCTTTTTGCTACAGCTGTAGCCTCAAAGTAGACAAACAGCTTTGGAACTTCTGTTTTTTAGCAGTGAGTTTTTGACAGCTGTGATGCATTTTGCTTAGGGGGATGGGTCTCATCTGCTCTGAATGAGGAATCTGAGATGGTTTTCAGAGTCATTTATCTGAATTTTTTCTTTTCTTTTATTTCTTACTCTTGTCCTCTCTGTCCTGTACAGAATGACTGTGCATAATACATGCCCCTACTGCAGCCAGCCCATTCCACATGCTGTTCTAGTGCAGTCACCTACTGTTGGCAGGCACTTGCACTGCCAGTGTTTCACATACTGAAGTCCAGGTTTATATTTCTTTGCCTTTTCAGACCTTTAAAATTTAAACCTGATGTGATTAAAAAAAAAAATCAGAAAGCAAATTGACTGCAAATTAAAGTTTCACGTACAAATGAGGTTTGCCAGGGTAACTGCTGAGTTTCTGAGAGAATCTCCCAAGTAGATTATTGACATAGTGCAGAATAAATCCTTAATAACATAAATGATATACAAGTTAAATTTGAAAAGCGGGTATTCAGTGCTGCTGAGTCCAAAATATTTTGAAGATCTACCTCGTGTGGTTTATTCATGCACTTTTGTTTTCAGAGGTGTTACAGTGAGTTGGTTTTGACTGTCTGACAGCTTTTTATGTCACTTTTTGTGACTGATGTCTTAATCTACAGGAGTTTATTTTGGCTTTGTGGCTGCAGAGTTTGGTTGAATAATGATTGCATAATTGGATCTAATGTGAACAGTTCTGGTTTTATAGTATTCCTGCGCTTGATTGCTACTTCATCAGCTTTTTTATATTGTCAGTGGCGATTTTCTAGATGTGAAAGTCCATCTGCAGATTCTGGAGCTTAGTAGTATTGCAAATGTTACAATTTCTGACATTTCAAAGTTTTACTGTGGAAAAGCAGTAAAAGTTCATGTTTTTATACTGAAAATCACTGTCATTCATGATTCCCAGATCACTGGGCTACAGGGTGGATTTATTGTCTGCGAAAGTTCTTTTTTAAATCTAAAAGGTGGTTTGGATTGTAAAAGCTTGAGTGAAACTACTTTTCTGGAGTTTGAGATAAGATTTCCCATCTCTTAAGAATGTTCACAGATCAGTTCAGCTATCTGTAATGTGCTGCTAAGTACATATAGTTTTTATGACAGGTTGTTGTCCAGTGCAGCAGCAGTTCACCTAGATGTCACTCAAAGTGCCAGTAAACTGTTCCTGTACTAAACCTGAGCCTTGCTATGTGCTGCGGCATTGTTATAATCTTGTTTCATTGCAAGTTAAAGTGATCATGATGAAAATAGTCTGTGCTTACTTGAAGCCATGCATTATTTCCTTGATTGATGTTTCCCTTCTCTCTTCTGTATTTTTCTGGATCTGGGAGAGATGTGACTGTTTCTCTTTGCTGTGCTCTGGCAGTCTGTTTCTTTATAGAAACAGGGAACCTACTAAATTTTACTGATTTTTTTCTTTTTTTTTTCTGTATTATTCTTTTGATCAGTGGATTTGATAAGATGGAACAGATTATGTAGATGGCCTCTGCTGAAACTTTGCGTCTGAAGAACAACTTTAGAAACTGAGTTGTATAACTAAGTGTTGGAACGGGAGGTTTCTGTGTGAAGCTTTTAATGTGATTCAAACTACTGGTCTTTTAGGGAGCCTGTGGACTGTCCTGGTTCCCATTATAATGAGTCAGCTACAGGCTCTGCAATGTTATCTAACCACATTCACGATATGGTTAGAGTTAATTTGCTCTGGGGAAGTTGTGACTCAGTCCCTTTTTCACTAGTCCAGAGAAATCTCCCTGTGATGAATTCTTTTTATCCAGCCCAGGTGTCTCACTGATTTCAGGAGTTAAAAGCTGTGCTGCTTCTGCCAGCAGGCTCAGCCCAAGCCAGTGACAAACATTTTCTTTGGATTTCAAAGTTTTATTTTAAAAATAAATACATAGCATAGTATTAGCATAGTTTGTTCCATTGAGAGATACCCATTTATTAAAGAAGTATCACATAAGCTCTTACTGTCTTTGTTTTGTTTTTCTACTGTCTTCTGTTATTATAGTAGACTAAGTAGACTTCAAGTTTTAATAGTATCAGAACTGGTTTAGTACATGAGTTTAATTTTCTAAACAGATAACTATGTCCAGGAAAGCCTGATGATCTAACAACCTGTATGGAAGATATTTCTTAGATTTAGTCTTCTAACAGAGTTTCAGTTTCCAAGCTTCTTTTTATCAATACATTTTAGTGATTACTTCAAAAATAGCTGTTTGATTTTACTCAGAAATGCCATTTCAGGTTGTTAAATTATCAGCCAAGGACTTTTCTTTTTTTCATCCAGCTTCTGTGTAGATAATTGTATTCACAATAGTATCTTGGCTTTTATTTGTACAGTTTTGTCTTCAGGAGCTAAGGCGGCAGTTTCCTGGGAGCCACAGAGTTAAGCGATTAACTGGAATGCGATTTGAAGCTATGGAAAGGTAAAACCTGAATTGAAAACACTGTGCTTTCTGTATGGAAAGATGCTTGCTATTTCTTAAAATGGCATTCAGGCACTATGGAAACATGGCAAATCCAGGCTGGGCAGTTTCCTTATAGAAAACAGTGGTGTGCATGATCATATTATAATGTTTAGACATTTTTGTTGCATTTTTGCATATATTGTGCGGTGTTATTTTTTTGCCATCTTCCAGTCAGACTTCATAAAGTGAAAAGGTCTCTTACTCACAGTATAAGTCGTCATACAATACAACACTAGGCACTTTTTTGGCGGAGTCCAGGAGGCATACATTTCATCTCACAGAGCTAGAGCAGCATATGAAAATCAGTGCCAGTGTTTTTTTGCCTTTGTTGTTCTCCTGTGTTCCTAATCACTGCAGGATATAGCTCTTTTCCCTTGTTTTCTGAGTGTGGATAAATCCAATAGAACTTAATGAGGATTAAATCTATGGAATTCATTACAGAAACAACTCAAAACCTATACCAAATAGGATGGCAGAACCTAAAAATTAAACTGACCATTTAGAAATATCCTGTTATAACATAGTGAGTTTAGCAGGAATTATTAAAATAATGAACAGCTTAAAGCTTTATAGCTTTCCAAGATTAATGACCTCAGGGTTTGAGGTTGACCTTTATTGTCTGCCTTTCTCCTTGGATAATCTTTGGTATTTACATTCTGTTCTAAGGCAGTGTCAAGGCAACTAGGTGTTCCACATTTCTCACTCACTTCCTATCAAATACGTATTCATGAAGAATTTCCATTAACTTAGCTCTTTTTCTGTCTTCATTTGATATAGGGTAGGAAGACAGTGAGAGAATGGCAGCAGATTTTCTCCATTCCCCAAACCTATTCAGAAGTGCAAAAGATCAGAATTCTGTCCTAGGCTTATGTGACTACATTGAATATAATAAGTGGGAACAGATCTCTGTGGGAGATGACTGCTGCATGAACATTATGTGTTATTTCAGCAATGAAGTGATACTGAGCCACAGTTTTCCAAAAGCACTCATAAAAATTCTTGACTAAAATGACTCTGGCATGTTAGATCCTTGAGATTGGAATATCAGGGGAGCAGATGCATTAACGAAAGCTGAGGTTTCATCTTGATAGATTTTCTCCAGAAGTTAGAGAAGATGGAGGCTTTGGTTCTGCGTTGCTTTGAACAGGAACTCATCTGCAGATGCTCTCAGCCATGGCCTGGAGAAGCCTGGTTCTCTTCCCTTGAGTATAAATGATGCCTAGGGAGACTTAGGCTGGAGGGTATCACATTTTCAATTGAAGAATTAAGCTTCTTATTAAATTCTAAGTGACTTCTAGGATCTAGAAGGATCATGCTTTCCCCAGCAGAAATAGGAAATCGTGAAGGACATTCCTGTAGACTGAGATATCTCTGTAGATACTTGCTGATCAAAAGAATGCTTTTCTGGAAATTCACCTGTAAAGCTGGGATTATGGCCATCCTGTTCAGTCTTGTAAAAAATATTTGATAAAGTAGCAATTTACAGAGAACATGAATGCAGCATTTTACAGCGTGTCTGCCAAGTCTGTAGCAGTCACCTTCTACTCATTTCTGCTTTTGTGCTTGCTTTCTCATTTGTTCTTGTATCTTACGGTAACTGGACTGGACAGCTGAGCTATGCTAATGTCAGCAGTGTTTAGGGAGCAGTGAGAGTACGTAAGTGGTGTTGAAGGTGAGAATGGGATGTGTAGTATCAAAATCAGTCAGCAGTACTTCTGAAAAACTAGTTGTCAAACTGTACATGAAGACATAATATATGCCCTAGTTATGTGGTAATAGCGCAACAGCTGTGTAGTCAGATGTGTTTTAAATTGAATTATTTGGATCATGTACACAGCTGGCTGAACACACAGATCTGTTTCCCAGGTCTAAAACATTTACAGCAGGTGGAGTAACCTGTTTTGTGCATACTGCAAATAGCAGAGTTAATTAATAAAACCTATGTAGTGATGGTGGAGAAGATTTTTTTACAAGATTTCTGGTATAGTCAAGGATTGGACTCTTGTGTGAATCCTGCTAGTTTACTGTGTGCGGCTGCTTATACTTTATAAAATCATAATAGAAGAAACTTACATGAAGTTTTAAATTACAGCTGTGAAGTAAAAAGTCATTATTTTGGATGCCCTTTCAAATTTTGGGGCTTCTGTTTCTTGGGAAGAGTGAAAAAGAGAATTGGGATGTGATAATTGGACCTATTGGGTAAAAGAAAAAGAGGGAAGAGGCAGGAGAGTAAGATACTGGATATAAGATACTTAAATTGCTGCTGAAACAATATTCCATAAAGCAATTACTATGTACTTTTTATTTAGCTCAATAACATAAAATACTGCTGTTCATATTTAGCACTCAGGAGAATTTTGTATGAGTATAGTTTGCTTAAATATGTTCATTATTAAAAGTTGTAGAAGGGTTATTAAGTATTGCAAGGACAGTCAAAAAGTCAGGAGTTCTGCCTTAGCAGAAATAAATGTGAATGATTTCTTTGAACAGGTATGATGATGCTATCCAGTTATATGATAGAATTTTACAAGAAGATTCAACTAACACAGTAAGTTCAAAATAGTTTTCTGAACTGCAGTGGTGTTTTGTTTGAAATTGTGCTTACATTTTGTGGGTTTCTCTGTGGGAAAACATAGGCCTGTATTACTGTATTTGTTTCCTAGTATAATCTGTATTACCTTCATTAGAACAAATGAGATGTGTTTCATGATGAGAAGGCACTTAAAGTGCTTAAAAACTGAGTTTAGAAGGTAGGATTATAGCTAGCAAACTTCCATGCAGTCTTAGTAGGGTTTAGATTGGGCCTTTCAGCTTTCACATTTTCACTAAATACTAAGTATTTAAAGGACTAACACAGTCTGCTCTGTGTCTTCTCTCTTCATAATGCTCAATGTAGCTCAAAGATTAAGTATGAATACACTCAGGTAGTGCTTGAATAGCAGTTATTTTGATTTACTGTCTGGGATGCTTTACTAGCTTTTGACTCAAAATGTTATAAAGCATGCCAGTCATATACAACAAAATCTGAGACAGGCTGTTCTTTTCTTCTAAGCGGTTTTTGAACACTGGTTGTATAAACCACCTTAAGCTGTTAGATGCCAAAAATTAAAGTCTGGGGAAACTTGTAGCAATAAGTTTTCATGCATTTTTTGTCACAAGGATAAAACTAGAAATAAGAAGCTATGGAGTTTCAAAATCTTGTACCACATGTTGCAGTCAGTTATTATTAATCATTGTCTGTTGGCAGGTATATGCTTGACTCTGTTACTTGGTTTCAAGGAACTGGTTCTCTTTCCTGGGTAGAACTCCATGTAAATGTAATACTTGGGATATTGCAGATGTTTTGTCAGTCTCATGTAAACCTTCCTTTCTGTGTTTTGAACCTCTGCCTTTCTTCACTCAGCTTATTAGTGTGGTCTGCTATTCAGGAGGGGAAGACCCACAGAAACACATGTAGCAGGTTAAGTAGAATGAGCCAGAGCTGGATATAGATGAAGTACTATCACTTAAACGAAAGTGAACCACTGGGAAACAAATTTGAAACAAACCAAAACAAACCCCACCACCAACAAAAAACTACCCAAACCCAACAAACCAGAAAATTTTCAGGGTAACACATCTGAAAATGTTAATACCAAGTTAAGGACTTGGATGACAGTGGTAGATAAAACTGTCTTTTAGCAGTGATAGAACTCATATTTTTTAGGCAAGGGTAAAAAGAAAAATTTAACTTCTTCACTCTTGTTTTTCGCTTTCCCTAGAGCACAACTACATAAACTGTGTTCTGTGTGACAAATGTAAGCGATCTGCTTCTCCTTTGAGAGCCTGTAGTTTTTGAGTAGATGTTTGAGCGCAAGGTGCACAGTTGTCTGCAATAAATGTTGGTGGATTTTATCAGTGTAGGCCACAAAGAGTTTCAGAGACACTAAGTCTTCAGAGTCATGTTTGAAAAGTAGGTGGAACCCATTTACAGTGAAGCCACAAGAATAGGTCACCTGGGTGCATGTTTTGTGACTTATTGCTGAAGCCAGTGGAAAATGGAGCACCATATTACAGTGACTTCTGTGGCCCACACATCTTTGAAATATGCATTTTTGGCAGCTTTACTCTTCAGCTGTCTCAACATGGCTTTCGTCATCTGAGTGGTTTGTCAGATGGTTTTATAAAACAAAACTATATATTTAGGTAATATGTATGCCTATTACTTAATTTGGATTTCCTCCTTAACAAAATCATAAAGATCCATACAATGGTAATATTTAGAAGCATAAGATGTAAATATTAGAACAGCTGCATGATCTCTTGGATTTCTTAAGATCTGAGAATAGAAGTGGAGAGTGTTAAATGCAAAGCAAAGGTTTCTTGTTATGTAACTACAGAGTAGGTTGGCTAAGCCTTGCATGTGAAGAATACAAGTTAAATAGAAAGTTTTGATAAATTGTCACGTGCAGATGTCTTTGCGTCTTTTACCTGTTAATTATTTCCATGCGCACATGTGGCTGCTGAAGGAAAATAAGTATTTCAAGATTTTAAAAAAGAAACTGTTGCTGAGTTTGTCTTGGCACTCACCTTACCTTACAGCAATTTCTTCTGGTCTGCTGACGCATGGATTTGCTTATGTACATTAAACATTTTGGCAAGTGCTGTAAGTGAAACACAGACGTTTCTTCACACGAATCATGTAGAAATCATACTTTGCATCGACTGACAGATTCATATAGAATAATGAAGAAAGCTTTTCCAAAACATTATTAATTTCAGACACCTTGTAGACTTTTCCGTTATGAAAAGTAATGGACATTTACACTTTTGGATGAGGTTTTATTGCATGCAAAATGCTGAAATTAAGATAGCAGTAATTATTTTATTTAATTTTTTTAGAATAGAATTCAAAGTAATCTTTGTGTTTAAAAGATGACCATGTCTCCACAGTTTATCTCACTCTGAACCTACCTGCTGAAAGAGATGATTCATTTGACAGTGGTGCAATGTTAAATGTTGTCAATTCAGAGATTGTGTTTCATTTAACAAAGCATGTAGATGTTGAGTAAGAGTCTATCCCTTCGCTGAAGAGTTTAACATTAATGAATGAAGTGTGACTGCTGTGAAAAGCACAACTGGTGTGAATTTCAGTAGGATAATAATGGGTATCATTTCCATTCTTGTCCATTTTGGTTGAAATGAAGGCTTATTAGAGCGGTAGTTGGCAGATTACTCTTGTTATTAAAGCTGCATAACATCTTACATTGTAGGGCTTTTTTAATTAATTAAAATGTAATGTGTCAATTGAAAATCTTCATACTGATGCTGAACAGTGGCTGAGTTGTTTGTACATCTTCAGATAAAATGCTTAGTCTGTTTCTCAGAACAAAATATGGGAGGCATTGGGTTTTTAGCAGGATTGGTAGTAAGGACTTTTGGGTTGTTTTTGGTTTTTGTTTTTTTTTTTTTTGCTGTTAATGTATTTAATTGAGGAATCCTCATCCTGCTTTGCTTTGGAGGAAAGCCTTTTAATTCGATACCTTAGACTTTTGTCAGTCAGGCCCTTCTTGAAGTGTCCTGTCGCGGAGTGCAAACAAGATTGATGATGAAAAAGGAAATTGAGTTCATGTGTTCAAGACTTAGGTTTGTGTCTGATCCACTACTGTCATGCTAATGCATATGCAATTTTTCCTGATTCTTCAGCTTACCATGAAGAAGATTGCAAAGCACATGGTCAGCACCAGGGGAAAGTGAGATACGGCACAAAGTTCTGCCTTAATTCTAACCCACTGAAAATCTGATGTCTTTACTGGGATAATTCTGCTGTTTTTCTTGCCGCTTTTTCAGCTAAGCTTTTAATACAAGAAGACGTATATGCTTGCTTAGCTTAGGGCATGTGGATAATCTCATTAACTTCATGGGTCTAGTAATATAATTGTGTGAACGAAGAATTAAGAGTTAGACTTTACAGAACAAGATAGTGCTCTGGGTGAAGTTGTTCTTTCAGGCTGCATAAAATACTTCACTAACAACTCAGTTGTTTATGGGAGTGAGCAGGAGCAACTGCGTGCATATGGTCACATGAAGTTACAGTTTCCATACTATTTCGAGATTCTTTTTCTAGTGAAGCTGGACATTTTTCAGAAGAGCCACAGGAGGTGGTTGAAGACAGGTTGGAACAGTGATAATTCTGTAAAATTCCTGCAGTAGCTGTGCATTCATTTTGAATGTTCTTGCAGCTTTGTAAATTAATCTACAGGATGCTTTAAGCTGCAATAAAGAAAATTTCTTACCAAATGAAGTATCTACTGATGGGAATTTTTTTGGGGTGTTGTGTGTAAGTTTCATTAAATATATTGCTAGCTCTGCCAGGAAAGACACAACAAGTCATATGCTTACATATGTATAGTGGTAGTTTTAAAGGGAGTCAAGTAAGAGCGTTTGGCGCTGTGTCTGATGCAGGATGGAGTTGGTGGGAAGTGTGAAGAGCTTCAGCTGCTGCTTCAGTTAGTCTCTAAGAAGGACCAGTGGTTCAGCTGAGGATGTGCTACATGGATCCTAAGGAAATGTTTTCTTCTTTTGAAATTAGAACTTCGTCTTTTATGTTTTTGTCTTTTTTTACTGCTTTTTGAACTTGTGTAAGTTTGGGGTGCATGTGTCTGCATTATGCAGAAATAAGGTTTCAGAATTTATTCATGGAGTAGACAAATTTCCTTATTTTTTTGTAAAAAGTTATGTTCAGCCTTGCTATTTATGCTTTGACGTTATCCCTAAAGGAGCAGCTTCAGCTCAGCAGCTCTGTGCCTGCATAGATCCATTTGCTAGTTTTGGCCTGATCTGTCTTCCATGACTGATGTTGAAAGAACTCTTAAGTCTAATTTTTTATTGTGGTTGTAGTCAGATTATGTGGTATTTTTTGATGTTAGTAATTCCTTCCCTTTATCTTTGTTGTAGTTGTTTACAGTTTTGTTTTGATTATTTATACTGCAATTTGAAGGGAATTATTTTGATGTATCAAACCCTTAGATCAAAACCGCATTTTCTAAAATGTGAAGTCCTTGATATTTATAAATTTATAAAATCGAATAATTTCTTTTTAAGATGCAAAATATAATTTCTTGTAACACTGTAGCAGTTACACAGGTATGAAATTTTGCCTTTCTTAGAGGTTTCAGTCCCTGAAAATTCTCCTGCTAATACCTTGCAAGCATGAAATTTAGAGCAGTTTTAAGACTCTGTTTTGGTGTGTTTGACTAATCAAATGCAGAATTTGATAAATGTTCAACTTCTCACTTCACTCTGAGTCTACTTAATGCTAATTAAAAAGAATCATGACAAATGGAGGATTAGTTCTTGTGCCAGATTAGGGATTACTAGTCTTTAAAAGAAATACCTTAGAAAGGTTCTGTGTTTAAAAAATATGTGACATACTGAAGTACCTTAGTCCATACGATACTGATTATGGTATAAGTGGCATAAAGTGGCATATATCTTTCAGTTAAGAATGCAGGATTTACAGAATCTAGTGTTTTGTTTTAAACTCTGGAAAACTGATGGGGGAATTCCACGTGATAGGTTCTGCATGGTCAAATACTGCAGATCTTGTTGCAGCACTGAAAGTTTTGTCTTTTCCTCTTGATTTAAAGTGGAAGGAGAAAGGAGCTTGAGTTCATTTTTGTATTAGGCTTATTCTTACAAATCTCACTGTGATGTAGAGAACCAAAATGTAACTCTTGAATGTTATTTTTTATCTTTATTAACAGAATTGTCACAGCTATCTTAGAATGCTTCATAGATTTCAAATAATCTCAAATCTTGTAGTTAAAATGAAGTTTCTTATTAATATTTTCAGTGGACTTTAATGATTGAACAGATTGGTACTCTGCAGTTTGCAGTTTTGTAGTATCTTGCAATAGGTCCCCTGAAAGTGACCTTATATTTTGAAATCTGAGATTTATATTAAAAATGGCCTGAAACATAATAAGATGTGAAATTGTCTGGTTTTCTAGTATCAGCTGATACTAAGGCTGGTAATAAATTGGGTATATGAGATAAATGCTACTTAAAGTTTCTGTAGAATTGATGGGAGTCTGGCTTTCCTTTTCAAGTAACTGTTTTTTGTCTGCTGAAGTGGTTGTTAGTCTGCACGGTAAAACATTTTGTTTAATTTGATGGAAATAAAGCTTGATGCTATGTGTGTAAATGGTGGTTAGCTAAGCTGCTGTCCTCAGGATACTCAGCATACGGAGTGCAAGTCCCAGCTCACTGAGGAGGAAGCTGATAAACACAGGGAGCTAGAGAGTGGCTCAGGAAAGGTATAAATCAGAACAAGAATTAAGATGTTTACAGTGCTCCAAATGGCCTGTGTCCTGATTTTAGTACAGACTTTTTCATATATGGTTTTGTTAAATTATTGACTACTGAAGTCACTGGATTTCAGTTTTCACTTAAAAAAATACTGATAGTTTGTATGATCCAAAGATAAACTAGAAAGTCAGATGGAGGTGTAGTCTGTGAATATAGATAAAAGCAATAGTGGTTTGTTTTTCATGTCTTTATTTTTAGCCTGTCTTACTACTCCTGGGTATCACAGATCTGAACACTTCAGATCAACTGAGCACCTATGTGTATGTCTTTCAGCAATGTGTTCAGAATATTTGTGTTACAGTTTTATTTACGTGATGGAAAAATGTTAGCAATTGCTTTAAAAAAACCACTACATCCTCACTGACTTCTTCCCAGTGGTTTTAACGACACTTTCGAAAACTGTGCTACCATACAGCATTGACTGTCAGCACTGCTCTCAGTGGCTGAGCCTCTTTTTAGTGAGCTGCGGGTTCTCTGTAAATAAACTTACCCATCACTTTTGCAGGTTTATTTGAGGGTGATGGGAGTGCAGATTTCAAGCCTTTTTTTTCTGGTGATAAGTAGGGTGGATAAAAAGGTTTTAAATCCTATTTTTCCTCAAATAAGAAAAATGTAATTTTGCAGCAATTTTGTGGGATTTAGTGTAGTTTAGATGCAGATAAATTCTGTCAAATGTACACGTAATTCATTTAACGTGAACATGTTAATTATGTCTAATCCTTTTATCCTCATTATTTGATTGCATGAGGCGACATGCTTATTATAGACAAACATTAGTTAATGTTTGTGACTAGAACTAGTTGTAGCTTTTTATAAATAAATTTGTCTTGAGGTTCCAGTGATTTATGTTACTTGGGAGTGCTGTGATTAAGAAATAAAGCAGCCATAGAAAAAATATCTTTCAAGGCTCTTTTGGAGGCCTGACTTGCATGCAGTTAAAAGAGTTGCATTAGAAACAAAAAAGAAGGGTGGCTTACGTACTCTGTGCCTGCTTGCTGTTGCGAATTAAGGCATTGATTGATTTTATAAATGAAACAGATGATTTCCGTTCTCTAGCAGTTCAGTTTTGATCAGACTCTAGATTGCTTTTTTCTTTATGTTTTAAAAATAACAGCTGTTTTTTTAATCTAAAACTTAAATTTTATAGTAGATAGTCTGTTACCTGCGAAGAAGCTTCTGTCATCGTAAGCCATAATTGCGTGAGACGCTCCTTTGACTGTGCATGCTGTTATCCCCACTTTCCCTTCTTTCATGTTTCAGGCTCAGTGGGCAGTTCACTGGGCTGTGTATAATACCGGCTTTGGGTAGTGAGTTTAACACTACCCTGGTGTCCCCACCATAAGCATGTGGAGCTACTTTACAAAATGCTTTGGGACCTCTTCTTAAAATGTGATGGAGAGCAATGGTTTTGGTTAGGTTTTTTTTTGTTTTGTATTTTTGTTTAGTAATAGTAGCAGCATGATATGCATGTGGAATTAGTCTTTAAAAAGTTTAATTATGCTGTTAATCTTTATTTTAAAACCTCAAAAGTAAACAGTGTGTGTTATTGTTATAGTGATAAATGTGGTCAGCAGTTAAAATTTCCAGAGGCAGTTATGGCTTTTAGCCAAATGTCTCCCAGTAAAAGTAGAATGATGAATGAAACTTCACAGGTTGCAGTTTGACAAAGAAGCAGTGGAAAACGAAATGACTGTGGGTGAACCCCCCAGCTGCCTGTGTCCTAATTTGTCTCTTGATTGTTCTGATGAATTTTCTCTGCCTGTGCCTTGCATTTAAACAGAAGAATGAAATGCTTTTTCCGCTCTTGAGTAATTTTCACTGAATTTTAATGAAATATACGGTTCTGAGGGAAGTGAAGGGGATGATCTCAAATGGAAGAATAAACTTACAGTTAGTGTTAATAGTGTTTCTAGCTGTGTTGTTTTGGTAGCTTGAACTAGTTTATTTAAATGCTGTGCTCTTCTTCTGGAAGCAATTAATTTGTTCAAGTGATGATCAGAGGATAGGAAATTAATGAAGAGAATAGTTATGTTCAAAATACTGTAAAAATACAGGAACTCTTTTGGGGTGTATGTGACTGTGATCTTAGGAAGGTACATCATGAAGAAACAAATTTCAGAGCTATGTTAAAGCCAAAGATTAAAATAGTTTAAGGTTTTGTTGAGGAGTTGTCAAGGCTTCCATAAGGTGATACCCAACTGTAAAGCCTCTTTATAAGGTATGAAATGGCATGAGAGCAAGCAGGGGAACGAGCAGCGGGACTTCACTACTGGAAAAGTGTATTTTTTTTCCCCCCCATTAATATTATCTCATGCAGAAATGACATCTATGTGTGCGTGTGTGTACACTCAGACACATCACAGACACCAGGCCATCTGTCTTCTCATGTCTGACTACAGTGGTTGTGATCACACAGGAGGGTGTAACAGGGGTTATGAGCTGATGGTGTTGACTCTTTGAGGCCAACTTTGTTATGCTGGAATTTGGTTTCACTTTTATTCTGCCAGATTCCCAAACTGCAATCATGTGTTGAAGCACAGAATCATCAACGTTAAAATTCTGCATATCTTTTCTGCTGGTGGTCTGAAACAACTTTCATAGAGTTCAAAATGTAAAAACATTTTACATCTTATAACTTGTTCTTATATGGTTTATGTTGAAATACATTTTCCATGTACATACCAAAGTACTGCTCAGTTTTGGCATTGAAATAGCTATTTTCTATTGCTTTTACACTGAAGAGCCTACTTTGTGCTCTGGGAGTGATGAGAGACTTGTTTATGAAATTGGTGTGTATTTAACATTAATTAAAGATGGCATTCAGCACACCAACAAGAATCTTGAAAAATGGCTGAAAGCCATATTCATACAGTGGTAATCAAGATGCATCTGTGGGATTCTCTAAGACTCCGTCCCCATCTCTCCTCTGTAGTCATGGATCTTGTGATTGACAAGGTGGGGGTCTTTGGAATGGCTGAAGATTAACATCCCCCGCTGTTTTGTAATTATCAGAATCTGGACAGTCGTTTATTTGAATGAAATAATGCATACAGTTTGTGCTTCCAAAGAAAAGCATACATAATGTGATTGTATGAAGAGGTTTTCAGTCTCTCAGTGGGATGTCATAGGGTATGTTTATAAACTTCAACCTAGCAGTTTCTCTGCAGCAGAATTCCACTGGTATTGAGATAATAATTTGCACACTCAAATTGCTTTCTTTACAAAAACCCAGGGAATTATGAGACCCTAATCCTTTATTAATGTCAATCCATAGGCAGCAAGAAAGCGTAAGATTGCCATTCGAAAAGCCCAGGGGAAAAATCTTGAGGCCATCCGGGAGCTGAATGAGTATCTGGAACAGTGAGTGTCTTACAAGAATACGGATTGTGTTTTGCTATTCTAATAAATCTTTTTAATTAAAATGGAATTTGCATTTGATTTACGCTTTTGCTTCCACTTACAGAATCCCTTGCATATTCTTTTCTTTTTTTTCCTTTTCTCCTCTCATGTCTTCTCTATACAGATTTGTTGGAGACCAAGAAGCTTGGCATGAACTTGCAGAACTTTACATCAATGAACATGAGTAAGTTGTTTGCTAAATCCACATAAAAAACTGTTAAATTGAAACCTCTGTGTAAGTCAGAGACCTCAATGATTTTTTTTCCTGAAGGACAAGTGTTAGAAAGTATGCTGTCTCATTTCCAGTATAACAAGCATCAACAGGAAATAACTGCCGACCTTATTTGAGTACCAAATGCTTTACGAAGGCATTTGATTATAAAAAAGAAACAGTTTATTTAATTACCTGTATGTTTCAGTCATGTTTTTTTTTTTTGTTTGTTTTTTTTTAATCTGTTGTTTTAAAAGAAGTGGTTTGCATGTAGGAGGGAACAGCACCTTTTTTTCCCCATATTTTTTCGTCCAGGTGATTTTTTGACTGGATCTTATATAGTCTTATAGATCTTAAATTCTTTCCTTCTAAAATCAGTTGATCAATAACAACTGATATTTTTCTGAGTTTCTGTTAGCTTACCTCTGTAAGAACTTTTAGTAACCTTAAAAAAAACACCAGCAAAACAAAACATGGGTCCAGAGTTAGAGGCATCAGGTCGCCTGGGTACAAAACCCAATGAAATCAAGAATGCTGCATGTTGTAGTAACTTGCTTATTGGATATTTAATGTTTTTGTTAGCTTTTCCTTATTGCTATAGTGACAGGAGGAAATCCCAGTGTGAGAGGATTAGCTCAAAGCCTTAGTGCAAGTTTTCTAATATCACAGCATTAATTCTAACTTCCACCCAAAGGCGTATCTTCCCCCCCCCCCCTTCTTTAGTTCTTCAGCCCAGCCTGAATTATGTCACATTGTTTGCTTCCTTCCGTTCCAGAGAGTAGTAAAAGAATCAGATTTTCAAGGAAGAAATAATAATTCTCACTGTGACAGAAAGGTTTCTCCCCCATCACTTCTTCCACCCCATTCTCAAAGAAAATAATCATTAAACTCTTTCAAATGCTGATTTACAGAATAATCTAGAATTTAGATATCCAGATAGTTTAGTATTGTCTCATAATTGCAAAATTACTTTTTGTCCGATATTAAATATCTATCCACACTCTCTATAAACACTGCCTCTCTGAAATTTGGAAGCCTGTCATGTAAACTCTTGTTCAACAGTGCTATCATGTATCTGTAGAAGATGCAAATTCTGCAGGAAACTCTGTTAGTTGAAAGATTACGAAGCTAAGATTTCTGTAATTAAATAAACTTGCATTTTGAGCTTGACTTTTTAATTCTCTCTGAAACCTTTCATTTGAAGAACAAGTATTAGCCTTTTCTAATGGTAAGTTGCTGTCTGTTCGGACTAGTATAATGCTATCTTTACATATAGATTTGAACAATTTGATTTTCAGACTGTTCTTAGTATGTTTTTTTTTATCTCAGTTCTGTGGTCTGTATTTGTCAGTCCTTAAGCAGCTGAATTTTCTTGTAGAAAAAAGTAATTCTTTTGTGTTCTGAGTTCAGTGTCTTTTAGTATGAAATGCCTGTTTCTACTCATCATTCTTGATAAGAAATAGTACTTATTTATAGGAAATGAGTATATTAAATGTTTTCCACGAGCTCTACCACGTATACATAGATTATAATTTTTTGTATACTTTTCATCATAATTTAGAAATGATAACTTGAGTTTTCAAACATTCTTTAAAAAGAAAACATCTTCTTTAATTGTGAATAGTGAAGTAATGGGGAAAAAAGTATGGCTTTGTTTATCATGTTGTAAAGACACTGAAAAAACAACCTGTATATTCTGCTTCATGTTTTCACTTTTGTTTTTATATTCCTCAGCTATGCAAAGGCAGCGTTCTGCTTAGAGGAGCTTATGATGACTAATCCACACAACCACTTATATTGTCAGCAATATGCTGAAGTAGGTATTTTCAGAAGAATCAGTTATGTTTGGATGCATATTCTGGTTTTATGTTAATGAAGTGGTGAAAATGGAATAAAAATGGTTTAACTTTTTCCCAAGAGATTTAATAGAGTACACAGACAATGTTAACATCTCATAGAACTTAACATGTTAATAAAACTGGTTTCTTACTTGCTAAATAGAAGAGTAAGAGCAGGAATTATTGAAGGTAAAAATTCATGTAAATGAGCTATTCTTGTTGAAGTGTTTATGCACTTTTCAGATTAAGTGCATGAGAAGTTAAATTTTACCACTGCAATGCTGCCTAGGAGGTTATGATATATTGCCTGTTATTGTGGACCCAGATCTTGGAATACACATAGGAAATTTTGTGTGAAGGAGCACTGGGGGGAGAGAGGGCCCTTAGCAGTTTTAGTTCAGGGTTTTTAGCCATTTGCACTCTTTTTTTCAGATATTTATTATTTTTCCTAAATTATAATTTATCTGCTTAGAATGGATTTTATTTGTTTTGTTAATGTGGATAAAATCGGATTAACTTTAAAACTTGAAAGTCTAAATACCTTTCCAGTAGAAAGACTGTAATGCATGTCTTCTAGGATTTATCCCTCCTTTTGTTGATCTAATAACAAGAAAAATTAATAGAAAGACAATGCAGTAATCTCCTAAACTTTGTGCACTGTTTTGCAGTGAGTAGATAATGAAAGGCATTGTGGTGCCTTTTGTGTACTGGCGTAGCGCATGCAAGTTAATATGGATTTATAGTAGTAAGAATTTAGCTTTAGATTTAAAGTTCATGTTACTTTACTGAAGAGGCTATAATGTTGTAAGTATGCAAAGGTGCAAAATAATAACTTTTCATGCTTGTGGCAGCAAATTAATGCTGCCTTTTTTCCTCCTATAATTAAATATTTAAAAACTTGTATATTGAAAAGAGCTCAGATTTCTCCAGAGCTAGTATTTGGCCTTTGGTAGCACTCATCTGATTTGAAATATCATGTGAAACAAACCTGAAGTGAAGTTTCATAATATCTTTGCTTCGAGAGTGAATGTCTCAGGTACAGATGATGTGCAAGTTTCAGGAGCTTATAATTTTTGCAGGTTAAATACACTCAAGGGGGGCTTGAAAACCTTGAGCTGTCAAGAAAGTATTTCGCGCAGGCACTGAAGCTTAACAACCGAAATATGAGAGCTTTGTTTGGACTTTACATGGTAAGCACAATTACATATTTTCCAGGTTGTCATTTTTATGTTGCATGTTTTTATGCATGTATATTATCCTTTATCATTTTGGCTTGTTTGGGTGGTTTTTTTTTCTGTTGGTTTAACAGATTATTAACACTGTTTTTAAATACTGACAGGACAGTCTTACGCCTGTAAGTACTCCTTACTTGAAGTGCTCTTAACCTTTAAGTCTTGCCTGTGTTTTTAAAGAATTGTAATTATTGGCACCTGAAGGTAACTTCATGAATAAGGATTTAAAGCCATGCTCCTCTCTACAGGATGGTGAGCTGCTGAGGAGTACCAGTACAGTGTGATGGCTGCTTTTTTTTATTATTATTTTTAATTTTTAAGCAGCCTTTTTAATTTACCTTTTGGCTCCTTATTTCTTTGTAATGCTGTTTCCAGGCTTTAGGATCTGGTTTTGCTGTGGCTGCTGCTTTTTTACTTGACAGACATGCCCAATGTTCATAGTCCCCCAAAGAATGTCGATAACTCTGGTAAATGCTCCACAAAGGCTTTCAGCTGTATATGCCAAAGAAACTGGTCAATACTTCATCAAATTCAGGAAACCAGACAGAATTATGCCCCATCTTAGGTCCCTGACCTTGTACTATATCACAAATTTAATGCATCTGGGCATGGCTTCGGAGAATGCATTTCCAAGTTTGTGGAGGCTGCTTCTCTGACAGTCTTGCTCCTTTCCTGTTTCTGCAGGTAGTTTCAGGGAAATAGCTGTAAGGGAACATTCTTTGAGTTTGAACTGTATTATTCATTTGGAATAAATTCATGGAAGCCATTGGCTTCCATGCTCCTTTTTAAAATCTTCCCTGGAGGTTCTTCATTGGTGGTTCTTGTGGTTCTTTGCATTCAAGTACTTTTGCACTCAGGTGTTGTGGGAAGGATTAGCAATGATTCCTTGAAGAGTGATTTTATTTATATAAATTGAAGTCTCTGAGATTAAGGAATCTTTTCTTATTTTCTCTTTTTTTTTTGGGGGTGTAGTTTATGTGTAGTCTTACCTGCTTTTCTGATCCAAAAAAATGTCGTTTTAATGGCAGTTTGAACACACAGGTGATGTATTTTAAAACATTTCTGGTAACAAATTGAGTGGAGGAAACTAATTCATAACCCTCACTTCAGGAAAACAACTGGGATTAGCTGATCATGTCCAGGTTTGGTTCCTGACTTGGTACACAACTGAACTGAAGTCTGGTTTAGCTTTATTTATAACAAACAATTGTTTAAAAAGTTTAAGCTAATTCTCATTTGGATGCTGTTTACCAGTAACTGGGTATTTTTAACCTTTTTTTTTTACTGTTGCTCTGTGTGGGGCTCTGAATGCAAAGGTGCTGATTGCTCTCAGTTAATTTCATGCGCATCTATTTTATAGTTACACTGGATTTATTTTTGTATTCCTAGTCTGCCAGCCATATTGCCTCCAATCCAAAAGCAAGTGCAAAAATGAAAAAAGATAACATGAAATATGCCAGCTGGGCAGCCAACCAAATAAATAGAGCATACCAGGTTAGTACATCAGTGTTTTTAGTCTTATCATGCCGTGTAATTCTTTTCTGCGCTTTTATCAGCTGCTGCTCAAGAGGCTAGATATGACATATGTAAATTGGCATAATCTGCTTGGATTTTTTATGTTCTACTTGTGTTTTGATGTCCTGGAAGCTTTAATGAATATAAAGTTGGTATTCTACAGGGATTAATTTGTATTATTTACTTAATAGCTTTAACCAGATTTCTTTTCTACTAACATTAACTGAATGGACACTAGTGCAGTGCTGATCTCCAAGACTCAGTCCTACAGCTCAGTATTTTAATAAAACTTGGTGTGTCTTAATTCTTAGAGTGACTCAATCTGTTACTAACAAACAAATTAAAATTCTAGAATTTTATTTTCCTTCGGTTTATTTTGACCTTTCAAATCTCATATTTAATGGGGTTCCTGATAATTATCTTAATAATTGTGACTGAAGTTGGGTTTGCATAGTTTTATAGAAAAATGCCCCCTGATTTGTGAAAATGTTGACTTTGTAGGACACAAAGCTTACTGAACTCATGAGGAGGCTTTTCAGCTATTTGCAGAGTTATGCATAAATAGCTATTTTGCTTTTGCATTATAAGTCTGTATATTTTTTTTATAACTATGAATGAAAACAGGTTTTAGCTCATAGATTCTGTTGTCCATGCATCCCAGACATAGTATGTCTGACTCCCTTACAGCTGTTCCTTATGACCTGCCAAAGTTCATGTGTAGGTAATCCTGAACATCAGCATCATGCTGTCATGTTTTCCCCTTAAATTTTTCTGAGCAAAAATGTTGGTATTAAATGCAGAGACTTTATATACGCGTAACACTCCTTTCTTTCTGTAATATTTCAGTATCAGAACCCAGTATTTAATCTTTCTCTGGCTGCTACTGTCTCACAGTTAATACTACCAAGTGGCCTTTTGACCAGCTCCATCTATTATGGAATTAAATTAGATTTTCTTTTATGGCCCATGCAGTTAATTCTTAATACAGTATTTCAGTTTATTGCCAGGAGTGCAGCTTCTTCTGGGTGACATGGTTTTGATGTATTACAACTTTGAAGTATTTTCCATTTCCTCTGATTGGCCCTGTAACTTCTGACTGTACTTTACAGTGAAGAATATTGTATCCCTGAGGACATAATTAAGCATTTTATACTTGCGTGCCTGAAGTTGATTTCTCTGGTTTTCTCTTTAAAATGACTCCCTGCTTTACATTAATTTACCTGCTCACAACAGTAAGGTATCTATGAGTTACCAACTTTGTCTGATGTCCCATAAATAAGTGGGACTTCTTTTGGCTTCAGTATGTCTGACATTTCCTGTAATGGAAAATTCAAATTTGACTCAAATCAAAACACAACAAAACAAACAAGCAAAAACCAAACCCTTGAAGAACAGGATAGACAATGGTTTCACTGTTGATAGAACAAAACAGATTTTAAAAGATGTGTGAATTTTGAAGATAGTGAAAACTGTTATTCGTGCTTTACATCTCAATAAAATGAACTGTTAGAGTGGTTCTGAACATGTACTGCAAGTGAATATTGTGACTGAAGTTTCCAGTTCCAGTTCTACCACCAGTAGACGTTTGCTAGCACTTCTGGGAAACAGCCCAAAGGATGCTTCAGGATTGAACCATAGAACCAGTGTTGACTGTGGAATGTGGCATACCAAGATTAAGACCTAGAAACAGGCATCTCCTGATTCGAAGTGTAGTGAAAGTTTAACTATGGCAGTTTGTAGTTACATGACTTACAGCCAGATAAGCTTGCCTCTTTTTTTCTTTCTTTTTTGCTCCACATGGCTTCCTGTTAACATCACAACATTTCTAACAAAACAGGACTTGTATTGGGGAGGGTGGAGGAGGTTTCTGGCTGTGGGGGGTTTTGAGGAGGTTGGTCTTGTTGGATTTTTTTTACTGCAAAGTGCAGTTCCCCTGTTTCTGTGAAGCTCTTTTGAATCCTGCATTAAGGATTTTTGGTTGATGCAGAACAGCTCATGTTAACACAACTAACATATATTTGAAACATATGTCGTAGCTTCTTTGTGACTTCATACTTTCGTGATGTTGCATACTTCAGCTGCTCTTTTTAGCTGCTTCAGACATAAAGTGATGAACACCGTGTCTGACTAATCACAGGGGGAATTTTGGTACAGAGATGTAAGTGCTCAAGCTAGGATTTGGTGTGCAAATGGTGTGAACACCCCTGTCTTCTTAGAAGTACCACAAGAAGCTCTAGTGAGTACAGCCGGACGGGGCTGCCCTAGCCCCAGCCCTACTGAGCTTGTTACATGACAGCAGAAGGGTTTGGCCACTCCAGTGTATATGTCACATACCACATACAGCTGCTACAGCAAATGGTGTTTGGTGATGTAGTAGGAGGCAGTTTCCCCTGTGAGTCTGTATTGATTTGTTGCTCCCTTAGCATGTTGAGTTGAAAATTGTCATCTCTTGGACCTAAGGATGAAACCTTGGTTGCTTATGCCAGTCGAAACACTTACAGCATTCCTTCATTAATGAGGGGTTGTCTAACCAGGTTTTAAGCAAGATATTTAATATTATCTCTGTAAATCCTCCCCACTTTCCTTCATTATCTAAAGCACTTTCTAAAGTGTAATGAGAGCCTTAAGAGCTTGTTGAGTTTGGCATTGACTTGTTTTATTAGCTAGACCGTCTTACTGTTAAAATGCAGTTTTTCCAGTATTCATGTTCTAGAGAATAAGATGCATTTAGAATCCTGACTTGAGTGCCTAGACAAATGATACGGATTTGTGACCTTAAAATATGAAGTTATTAATTCAAAAAGTTACAGGCAAGCAGTTGGCTTGCAGTGAGATTTTTCCCCATTTTCTTTTTCACTCTGGATTTAAACTTGAATTACCAGCAGTTTGCTCAGTAATTTTTGAAAACTGCCTTTACTTTTTCAAATTCAGCACTGGCTATAGTTGCATTTTAATTTTATATGCAATTTGCTTAAAATATTTTCACTGGTCCTCTTCTTTCAGTTTTATGTTTTCATTCAGGCAGTTTGCTTTGGCACTTAATTTTTGCTTTTGCTGTGCATTTCTGTATGAAATCAGAAGAACTTTTTACATTTATTGTAGATTAAAGAAAACAGTCTTTGGGTATCAAAGGGAAGGCCTTACTGTTGCTAGTGTTGCTTAGACTATGCAGCAGTTTGTTTACCAGGACACATGGGGCTAAAGGACAATTGAATGAAATAATTTTCTTAAAAAGTACTGATATTTGATGCTCCATCTGGTTAATATAGTTACTTGAATGTTAAATGTGCTAATTAGTACTTCTCATCTGTGCCTAATCTGGGAGAAATGTAAGCTTTTGCAGGAAGACAGAAAAGTTTTGTAGCAAGGGCTTCTTATGGAGCTGGAATTCCTGGCTGCTGGCACATGCGCTAAAAGAAAGGTCATTATTCTCTGGGCCACTTAAGTTTAATTGACTGGGTAGGAAAAAAAATATTAATCTTTCATTTCAGATGTTAGAGAAATACTCGTTATTCAAAGAATTATTCTCATTATAAGCTCAGTTTTGCCTTATCACTGGGAAGCCAGATTCTTCTCTCTGTGTGGACCCTGTGAAGAAATGTGTTTCTGTTCTGACGACATGAGTCACAGTTATTTTAACATCGAAACAAAATATGGCTACCTAGTGCTCTTCAATTAGGTAATTGGTTTAGCATGTCCTCTGGTAGAAGCGTTTCAGCAGAGGCAAGCGAGTTTGATTAATGCTCACGAAAATCTTTTATGTGATCCTACTCGTAGTAATTTTCCAGATACATGCTTCTTGGGTACATTGCTAAATTCTTCTGTGTTAGCAATCCACATGTTATTTATGGTCAGAGAGAGGTGATTTTGTTACAAACCATTTGGGAAACAGAAAATTAAATCATGATTTTAAGAAATGGATTCCGGCTCAATCAGTCAAATTGCTGTGTAATGGCAGAATAGACAAAATAATTGTTCGTCAGGGCAAATTTGAAGTGATTACATTTCCAAGTATACTCCTGTTTGTTATGACGCAGAGTTTGGTTTTATTTGTTCAGCTTCAAGTACATGTCAGTATCATGAAGGCAACCACTCTTGAAATTAGCAAGTAACATTTTTTAAACTAATGTCTTCTGTCAGTTTTGTTTTCAGTGTCCCTGAAGAGAGGTAAAATGAAATTCTTCTAATTTTGAAGCTTTCCTCTGCGTGCTTTCTCTGTCTTGCCAGGAGTGATTTTTGACCACAGTATATTCTGGCTTCTGTGCTTTGTATTGAAATCTCTGAATGCTTTGAATTGGAAACAGTTTTTCAGTGGAGGATTTTGAGCTCTGTTTTATCATTTTCTTGTTTTTCTGAAGACTCCCCAGGTATCTGCTTGGACAGTTCTTGTTGAGAACAAACAAAAAGAGTATTGAGTTAGATCTAAGCAATAGTTACTTTCCCCTAAATGGGAGAGTGTTTAAGAATTTGATTTTCCTCTGACACTGATGGCTGCAGGTCACTCTGGAGACTGCACAACCTGAAGAATGGGTTTATGCGTACTGCTAAAGTCAAAACACAGCACATCAGTTCATCATCCAGAAATGTGAAAATACAGTGGGTTTAGTATGTCTCTTAACTATAAAGTGCTGTCACAAAACCAACATTTCATTCTCCTAGTGACTTAATTTGGAATAGCTTTTCATTTACTGTGCCAAAACTACTTTTGTAAGAGCTCAGTACTGATTGAGAGTCCCAGTGTTAGATTGTAGCCTGGGGGTCAAAAGCAGGTTAACAGGTCCTGCAGCTTGTTGATGGTGTGATATTACCTGGGTTTGATGACTTAATCTTTCTTAACAGGTCATGAAGAGTTTGCTAAATTAAGTTAATTGCAAGAGAGAAGGGACACATTATAAATCAAGGACTAACTATGTGAGACACCAGTGGTATTTGAAATAAAAAACATTAAATTGAAAATTTATTGAGTGTTTAGATGTTAACATTTAGGTAGAGAATAGGGTGTTTTACTAGCAGCAACTTACAGTTACTGCTTCTGTAATTTCTTTGCCACCCCTCCCAACTCAAAATGCAAAACTTTTTAATGCAGGTGTATTAAAAATCGTTGAGAGTTTCATTTGAGCAAAGACCAACCTAGTCAATAAATCTGCTGTGTTAGATATGGATGGTAAGTGATGGGAATCATCAGCACTGTTAGAAAAACCCTTTTGAGGTCAGTATGGGGTGAGCAACATCTCCTACCCTTCTGCCTCTTTCTTTCGCAAACATGGCTGCATGTGTCTTAGGGAATCTAAAGCCATTAATAGTAGTTGTTAAGCTGTACTCTGTTATCCAGACAGACTTTATTTCAAATGCTCCCTGAAACTGCTGCTGTAATAGGAGGTTACATTCAAATACAAGGTCATTACTCACAGTTACTTTGAATAATGAAATATAATTATGTGGTGACTGGATTATTTTACAGGAGATTTTGGTAAGTAGCACTGTCTCACTGTAACAAAAATAGAAAATAGATTAGCTTCAATAACAGGTCCAAGTCTTACTGCTATTAAATTGTGAACGTTTAATATATAATATGTTATTTGGATCACATTAAAAAATCAAAGCTGAAGTAAAAATTATGTTAAAGTTTACCAGGCAAGCAAATCAGCAGGAAGATCTCACTTCAGATAAATGTTCAGTTTCAAAGTGGAATATTTATTAGTGCTGAATATTCAAATTCAGAGCAAGTGGTGAAATTAAGGAGTTCTGTTGTATTTTCCAGTACATATTAGAGGAAAGGTGAGGTAGCTTGTAAAAATACTGAGGCTGAGTGAAACAGTAAGTATGCTTTTAAGTTTGTAGTCAATAGAGTTAATTTTTGGTACTTAATGCTTAGAACTGGTATTTGCGCAGGATCTATGCACAGAATTTCTGATATGTGACAATCTTTTGTTGTTGTTTAGTTTGCAGGTCACAGTAAGAAAGAAACTAAATACTCTTTGAAGGCAGTGGAAGACATGTTGGAGACCCTGCAAATTACTCAGTCTTAGGTGGGCACAGAGATCTAATATTAAATTTTCCAATACCATGATCACCCTGCGATGACCTAATGCTGTTAAATGCTAATTTTGTATTGATTAACCTGCTATCTAAAATAATGTTTTATGGAAAGTAAAATATCTATTTATTGCTGCTGTGAGAAATGTGATGAATGCCCACTGAAATGAGTAAATTATCCACTTGGACAACAAAAAGAAATGACACGTGCTGCACATCAGTCTTTTCAGATTTTTGTATCTATAGTACCTGCTTCTAAGTCACAATTTGTAGAAATAAACTTGTTAAATGATTTATAAAAATGACAGTGACCATTTATTGGACTTGCAAATGGAAATGACGAATTTATGTATGTAGATGAACGACAGATGATAGCAATATGTGTCTTATTTGCATATTTAAGAGTGAAAGCATGCTACAGATGTACATTTTCTGGCAAATGTTTACTATACAGCAAGGAGTGATTATAAATACATTTTATTGGAGAAAAAAGTTGACATTAATGTTTTTATTAATGATTTGATATCCAGTATTGAAGAAATGGAGAGACTTATTTGTGTACTTTGCTTCTGAGGTGTGCTTGTACTGGCTTCAGGCCAAAGACATTCTCCTCTGTGGCTTTTTGGGCAAATGCTTCCATGTCCACGTAGTTCTCCAGTCAGTACATGCATGTGCATTTTTTTTATTCCTCTGTGTGTCCTTTGTTGTACATATGTTCCACATCATGAATTTCAAAACCATCTGAAGGCAGGGCTGCATGCTAGTCTGTACTAGTTTTTGTACCTACAGTATGGGTGCCCATTCACTGTGGTATGTTAGCTTCTCCACAGTAGCCAAGTGTTACCACACTGGGAGGATGAGAGACAGCTTGTTCCCCTGCCTTGTACTTGCTGGAGGATACAGTGTTTTTACACCATTAGCATGAAACATCTAGAACAGTGTAAATCTACATTGTATTCGTCTTTAGGCATGAGGTTATTTACTCAGATAATTAGTCAAACACTAATTTATGTATTTTGCAGTCACTCCTGAAGTTGTTCAGGTGTACGCTATGGCAGTTCTGTTGCACAGCTATTGTTTCATTCATTACGGCTTCAGGAAGATTGCATAACAGCAGCAACATACCCTTGGCACACTGTAATAAAAGTATTGCAATGTCATTTTTATGACTGTCACCACCATCGCAGCTGATTCTTATACTGCCTACACTATGTAGATGGGTAAATTAAAGGCTGTGTATTAAAATGGCCTTTTTATGATGTGGATTTGATGTAGTAAACCAAAGCTGAGCTCCGTCTTAAAAACAAAGCAGCAACAAAAACTTCCTTTGTAAGTTCAAAGCTTAAAAACGTGTGTAACTGAACTGATTGTTGGATGAGACTGTGCCTTTAAGAAACATGTAAGGTCTTATTCCTATTATCCGTGAAGTAGGTTGGAGTTTGATAGTGTGGTGGGAAGGGTGCTATGCCATGAGAATTGGCTGTATATGGAGTCATAAATTAACTTAATTCAGTACTGTTGAAATATAAAACTGCAACTTCTGCAGAGTGTTTTTAAATCACCCAATTCTAACTTGGGGAAATAGTGCAGATCCTTCTAAATACTAATTCACAACCCAGCTCAGAGCAGTATTTGCTGATAGATGTTGTATGTATCAGGTGGAAAATCCAAAAAAATATCCTGGGTGACCGTATGTATTTCTGTTCAGATTTATAGTCTTTTACTGTATGAGTGTGCCACCTAGAGTTGTAAATGCTCATTAGTCTTTTTATTTTATCTACATCTCGTAGAATTTGGTTGCATTATGAAATTAAGAATGGTGGGAAGCTGTACTGTAGACCAAAATTACCTAGTGGGGCATAACATTTTACCTCCAAGGTACTAAAACCAGCAGTGCAGTATCCCTGTGCAGTTGTGGCATCTATGCTGCTGGAAAGTGTCGGATATAATGTTTTATTGAGAGGCAACTTTTAACATAACAGTGTCCAACTTGGGCACATAATATATCAGTTTCTCTGTATGGAAGTTTGTTCTGTTTCTTGTTTTGAGTGATCTGATGACAAATTCTCCTCATTTGGCTGCTTAGAACCTTCTTTTCACTACTGCTTAGCATCTTTTTGAAATTACTATTCAACATTCTGATTTTTTGCTTGTATTTTGGCATAATCTCCACGTAGTATAGCTTAAAAACTGACAAATTTGTATTTACTTCAAAGGTAAAATAAATTACTCCTATGAAAATACGTGGGCAGTCTTTGATAGAACTACTGAATCCCAGCAGTGGAAATTCAGGGTATTTTTCATACTCAAATGAAAACCAAAATCCTATGTCTGCAGGAGAAGTAACTATATGAAATGTCCTGCACTCTCAGCAAGCAAAGGGTACAGAGGATAAGCTTTGATATAATGGGATCTTTATAGAAGTAATTTTCAGTTCTAGTAATTGGTTTTGTAATATATCACTGACGCTGTCTTGCATTAAAAAGAGGTTTTCAAAGAGTGGGTTATGTAGCTGACAAATGAACTTGATTATGCTCTGTATTGTGCTCTGACAGTGACAAATGCTACACAAAAATAATAGTATCAAGCAAGCAGTGTCCTCTTTTCAAAATAAAAGACTTTGTTTTCATATTTCAGTCAACAGCAAAAAGTTGAGACCTCTGTAATGCCAAACTCTATAGCAATGACTTGTGTCTTCATTTTTTGAAGTCATAAGTTGATAATAGGCTTGACAGGGAAACCTTATTGTTACCTGTTGAAGTAAAGGTCATTGAAGAGCCACCAAACCTGATTCTGCCTATGTTCTCAAGTTACCGGTGACTTCTTAAAACCCTTTTGTCCAAATGTTATACAGTTCATATTCTGTAGCTGCAAAAAGCACATCTTGTATAGAATATATCCCTAAATCTCTTCAGTTCAGTGCCCAGAATATCTTGCATTTGCTATTGGAAACTGTTATTAGTCAACGGAGGACTTCCTCTTGGCAGTGCTGTGTTTTTGATGGCATCTGTGTTTGCTAGTCACTGCATTTACAGTGGAACTTGCATTTCAGCCAGTTTTAGAAGGGAGGGGAAAAGAAAAGCAAATTAAACTTGATGTACTGGCGCGAATTTGTTAGCTTCTTGTTACTTGCACCCTCATCTTCCAAGAACACCAACTGTAGCTGTAGTCAGGTTTGCAATAATAATTCTTCTTGTAATTCAAGAGCTTCCATATATTCAGCTCTAAAACCAACACTCCATTAAAATCCAAACCATACAGGTTCCAGCATAGCAGTGCTATGCAGTGTGTATGTACCCCTGTATGCAGGGAGAATACAGTTCTCCCACCCTTCCTCAAGTTGGTGTCAGAGTAGAAGAGTGATAGGGCAGTTCTGGAGTATGATTTTGTCTAGAAAAGGAATGCTGCTTAATATGGATTGATGTAGTACTTATTTCTTGCATTGCTTGGGGCATGAATAGAGTTTTAGAACTAACTATAGGTACTTGAGTCTACTTGGAGAAAAAAGTGCTTGAAATTAGTTATTAGTCTTATTTGGGACAACTGTGCAGCCTTATAGATCCGTATTCTCTTGATAGACACTGTCTCGAAGTTGGATTCAACCTAGAGACTAGTTTTCAGAAATAAGTGGTCATTAATCTACTGCCTCTTAAAAAAAAAATCCACATAAAAAAAAAACAACCAAGAGCAACCCCCCAAACAAACAAAACCCCAACAAAACACCCCCAAAACCAACCCCAGAAAACCCCAAGCAGTACCCTACAAACCAATCAAACAAAAAAGCAACCCTCCAGAACCCACCTCATGTAAAGGAAGTTCTTTTTCAGCTGCTGGATGTGAAATGGAAAACATTTATCAGTGTACTTCATAGGTGAGTTTGTTTTGTGATGAGGAAATCCCCTGTATAAAGCAGTGCAATCCTTAATGCTTGTCTGAATGGAGGAAAGGCTGCAGAGTGGCACAAAGGCCTGTTCAACCCATATGCTGTAGTAGGACTTTGTGTGCCAAGCTGCAAAGAAAACACTCTTCATCTGTGCTAAGGTCTCAGAGGTGAGCATCCGTGGTGGGCGGGCACAGTTGTGGCTGAAAAGGGCTGCATAAGAGCAGAGCAGCATGGCCTGGAGCGTGCAGAGCAGGGACTTGGGTACATGCACCTGGAGACCCAATACAGATGTGAGTTCCCACCAGCTGTTGGTAGGGCTGAATGTTGGTGTGGATCTGCCTGCAGGATTTTGCCCCTGCAAGGGACTGTGCTCTGTATTTTGCTTTTCTCCCCTTGGCCTCTGCACAGCAGGAATCTTGCAGGAGATCCGTGCCCATGTATTACCCTATCAGTTCTGTTGGAGCTCAGTGTAGAGGTGAGGATACAGATGGATCAGTTTGTGGGATTGATCCTGACCCGTAAAGGTTTTGCACATTCTTAGCTTCAGTGCACTGAGTGCACACCTGAAGGTCAGCATAAGGACCTTTACTTTTGGACTGAACAGCAGGCCTGTTCTGGGAAACATCTGCAGTCTGGGTAGCTCCTTTGTGGGGGCTTGACAAAGAATGCAAGAGGGTGGATGTTACCCACACGGAACAAAGTGCAAGTATATAAATAAATCACTTGTGGTATCATGGTGGCTGCAGCTTGGTTCTCACAGTCACTGGGCCTTTTTGTATGTGTGTGGAAAAGCATGGAGTGAATAGCTTCGGAAAAACACTTCCAGATGGAAGGCCCTTGAACCAAGGTCAAAGGGATGGCTGGAGATAGGGAGAGCCACCTTTCGGCTCGGGTGAGTCAGCATAGGTCCAGTAGTTCTCTTCCCTGCACAAGATGACAAAATATGCTCTTCTTTTACATTGCATCAATAATGAGGCTTAAGACTGTTTAAAACAAAATAACGTGCAATTGTAGTTCAAAAAATGTTTTTCTCCTCATCCCTGTGTGTTTTAACTGCTTTCAATAACACCATGTTGATGTTAAGGTGCTTTGTGCCATTTGATGATCATATAGGCATCTGCCCCAGGGCCACCAGGGGATGAAGACATGTTTAGAGTGACCGTTCACT